CTCATAATAGCCAGAAAGTGGAAGCAGCCCAAATGTTCAGCAGCTGATGAAGGTATAAATAAAATGTGAATTCATGCAATGGAATATAACTTGACCATGAAAAGGAATGCATTACTGATACATAGTATAGCATAGAAGAACCTTGAAACATCATGCTGAGAAAGAAAGCAGACACAAAAGCTGCGTATTATATGATTTATATATGAAATGTTCAGAATATGCAAATCTGTAGAAACAGAAAATATATTCGTGGTTTTCAGGGGCTGGAGAGAGGGCGGAATGGGGAGTGACTGCTTACAGATACAAGATTTCTAGAGTGATGAAAACATGCAGTTAGGTAGTGGTGCTTGCACAACCTTATAAATGTATGAAAAACCACTGACTTGTACTCTTTCAAATGGTGGATTTTAAGTGAATTGTGTATGAACTATATCTCAATTATAAAGTAATGGTTACTGCCTGGCTGGTGTAGCTCAGTGGATTGAGTGCTGGCCTGTGAACCAAAAGGTTGCCAGTTCAATTCCCCGTCAGGGCACATGCCTGGGTTGCAGGCTATAGTTCCCCATGGGGAACGGGACACATGAGAAGCAACCACACATTGATGTTTGTCTCCCTCTCTTCCTCCCTCCCCCTCTCTCTAAAAAAATAAATAAATAAAATCTTTAAAAACAAATAAAGTAATGGTTAATAATTTTCTGAATTTGGGGGAAAAAAATCAGTGTGTGTCAAAGATGCTCAGCAAATCCCAAGCAAGTAAATATATAAAAACTACAATCAGGCACGTCATAATTAAACTGCTGAGAAAGAACCAGTTTTAAATAGAAAGTTTTGAAAGCATCCACCAAAAAAAAAAAAAAATGACCTGAGAGAACAGTAAGGTAAATGATGGCTGGCTTCTTACCAAACAGTGGAGATTAAAAGACAATGGAATGACATCTTAAAGGACTGAAAGAAAGTACACATAGAAATGAAGAGCACTGGCAATGGTAAATGTTTAAAATGTTTCCTCTGTTAACTTGGAAAGAGAAGGGATTATTTAAAACAAAGTAATAAAATTTTTGAAAAGACTTTACTTATTTATCTTTAGAGAGAGTGGAAGGGAGGGGGAAAGAAAGGGGAAGAGACATCAGTGTGTGGTTGCTATTTGTGCACAACCCAGGCATGTGCCCTGACTATGGATAGAACCGGCAACCCTTTGGTTTGCAGGCCGGCACTCAGTCCACTGAGCCACACCAGCCAGGGCACAAAGTAATATAATTTTAAGGAAGGGTTAACAATGTTGGTATCATAAAATAAATGACCACAATTGTCTAAAGGATAAGGCCTCTAAATCCTCAGTTAGCTATGGGTCAGAGAAGGAATCACAAGGGGAATTTCAAAATATTTCCAACTAAATGATAATGGAAACACAACATTCTAAAGTTTGTTGTTTTGTGACTCACCTAAAGCAGAGTTTAGAAGGAATTTAAAACTTTCTCCTATCACAGGAAAACGCACTTGACTGATATCAAGACTGATAAATGGGATATTGTTACCCCTTTATTGTTACCCAAGACCCCTTTATTGTTACCCAAGACTGATCCCACAGCTGTTTAAAGGACAGTAGGAAATATGAACAACTTTATGCCAGCAAGTTTGAGAAATGGACAAATTCAATGAAAATACAATTTACTAAAACTGACATAAGAAGTAACAGGTATGAATAGCCCCATAATGTATAAAGATGAATTTCTAATGAAAAACAACTTTCTCACAAAATGAAATTTCTTGTCTAGTTTCATTGGTGAATTATAATTTTTAGGGAATAAATAATATCAATTTTTACACACTTTTTTCACTCTTACACACTCTTCTAAATAGAAGAGAAGGGAATGCTTCCCAACTTTTACAGGCAAGAATAACTGTGATACCAAAATTGGTTAAAGATATTAAATTAAAAAAATTACTGCCAATATCCCTCATGAACACAGATGCAAACACTCTCTGAGAAACTAGCAGATTAAGTCCAGCAATATATAAAAGGTCAATACACCATGACTCTATTGAGATTGTCCCAGGAATATAGGGTAATTCAACTTTTCAAATATCAATTAATTGATGTGATTCAGCATACTGACAGGAAAAAGGTAGAAAAATCATATGGTCAGATTAAATAGATGTAGGAAAAGCTTTTGATGAAATTCAGTGCCCATTTGTTATCAAAATGCTTAGCAGGCTTTTGAAGAGAAGGGAATTTCCTCAATGTGACAGAGTAAATATGAAAAGCCTACAACTTGAAATCACAATACCTGATGCTTTAACGAATGTTTCCCTCTTAAGACTGGGCAAAAGGCAAAGATGTCTGCCCCCACCAGTTCAACAGGCAGTTTTGTTCTACTGCAAAATACGTATTCCTAAAAAGGACTGTGCTGTTGAAAATCACAGGACTTATGGGGGAAATGTGTTAGGAGCAAAAACTCCAAACTTCTTTAGTAACAAATAAAAAAGATAGGGACCTAATAAAAGCACAGTTTATACATGTTAATTGGTTAGGAGATACTATAAAAATATGGTACTTTATGCTATGGTACTCAAGACTGATAAATAGGATATTGTTACAGATCCCACAGCTGTTTAAATTTGCTTGTAGAAATGAAAGGGTTAGCTGTTTGTCAGTTATCGTGAAGTGATGAAAGGCAGTTTATCTGAAATTAAACAAAATTGGAATATTGGCTGTGAATAGCTCATGATGTGAGTTGAGGTAGCAGGTCCATTTCTGAGCTGTGTCTGTTTTGTGTATTCCTATGTGGCTTGGTTAGCCAGGTACAGTTTTCTGTGGTCACCTAGTATTTCTTGTGGACAGTATTTATAAAAGTAAACATGAAATTCACATTGCTGTAATTGTCTCCTAATATGTCCTTCACTTAAACAATTATTTTTACAAACATATAATATGCATAATAATATATTATTAGGAACTTTGGGGGGTGATGATAATATTCTATACCTTATTTGGGCTGACAGTTATGCAGTGTCAAAATTCATCTAACTGTACACTTAAAATTTCTGCATTTCACTATCTGTGAATCATATTCCAATAAATTTGAGTGTTTTAGAAGTTTATTGAGAGAGGAAACAACATACTAAACACAGAGGTGAGAACAGTCATGATCTCTGCCTTGTGAAGCTTTAAGAGTAGTGTGATATAAGAATATAAATGATATTATAGAGTCAGGTATAAGGACTTTGTGAACTTAACCTGGACTTGGAGAGTAAGAAATTTCTTGGAAAAAGTAATTTCAAAACAGAACTTGAAGATAGAGGAGGATTTGGAGGGGGTAGGCGGGTAAGTAAGTGGTCAAGGACAAGGATTTCCAAGCAGAGGAAATAGTTTGTGCAAAGGCACAGAGATGAGAGACTACGGCTGAAAGAACGTTAGGGCAGGGAACAGATATTCAAGATCACTGGAGTAAAGAATGTGTGTGAGGGAGTGGGGAAAGAGAATGAAGTATATGAAATGGGAGAGGTTATGTTGGAGAGGTTAATAGAGGACTGAAGACTTTAAAACCGAAGACTTTAGAAGTCCGATTATATCCTAAAAGTAGAGCAGAGCCGCTGAGTGAGAAGGCAGGTTCATTTTAGGAAGACCACTGTGATTCCACATGTGAAAAAATGAATTAAAGGGTGTAAGACTGTGCAGGGGAACCAGTTAGGAGGCTTTCAGAAAGGTCAGGTAGCTGTTAGTTTGTACTGGGAAAGTGGCACTGGGAATAGTGAAAGTGAATGGTTTCAGATGTTATGATGTAGACTCAATAGAACTTGAGTGGGTGTGGGAGAAAGGGAGGAGGAGTCAAGGGGGAAAATAATTTGTTTACTTTTGGATTTGTTAAGTTTCATATGCCTGCCAAACATACATCTACTAGATTAATGGATATATTGGTTCTAGGGTCATGAGAAGGGTCTTGGTTGGAGACAGATATTGAGACTCATTAGTTCATGGTATGTGGAAGTAGGTAGGCTTAATTCAAGGCAACTATATAGAATGAAAAAAGCAAAGAGATCCAAAGCCAGAAACTTGAAAAATATGGACATTTAAGCCATGGCTGGAAATAGTCTCTTGCAAATGAGAGTGAGAAAAAAATAAGAGGAGAATGAGAAGTGTGGTAACACAGATTTGAGGATGACTGCTTCAAGGAGAATTGTCAAAGATGTTATTAGATATTTGGTGAGGGCTTAAAACAATTAAGGACTGAAAGGTATCTCTGTTGACCTTGAAGAGAGCCATTTCAGTGGCGTGATAAAAAGATTAGCAGCCAGATTGCATGGGTAGGTAAGAGCTGAAGTCCAGCTCCGTGAGTTTCAAGGTTGGCTCTGAAGGGAAGAAAAGAGCCAGGGCTCTAGCCAGAGGGATGTTGAGGTTGAGAGAAGGGTATTGTTTTTTACATTAGGAGCTGGATTTATTTTTAAGGACAACTAATGGGAAACAGTAATTACAAAGATAATGTTACAGAAAGAGGGGAATAATTAACTGAGCTGGGTTTGAAAGGTACAAGAAACAGGATGGAGATATACCTTAGATTGTACCAGGAAAGGAGATGATTGGTTGTGAGTAAGTTTGTAGATTGGATCTTGGTAATATTAGGAGATTTAAGGAAGTCAAGGAAGTTTTAAAAAATTTTAGTGCTGATTTTAGCACTGATACAGTTAACTTCTATTAGCGTCTTTTTCACAATGTATTCTTTTCTCATTCTGAAAATGATACTTCGGAAGAAATATTAGAAAATTCTTTCTTCCCATTTCCACATACACAACAAAGTGATTTTGGACACAATGTTTTTATGTTTTATAAAAGTAAGCTTTTAAACTGTGGTCTCATCTTTTCCCTGTCAGAATGCTGAGTCTACTATTAAAGGTGAATTGACAATGAAATCATACTGCTCTCTGTATTGTCAGTTTGCATAGATTACCATAGCAAAATACTGGGTGGCTTATACAACAGAAATTTATTTCTCGTAATTCAGGTTGCTGGAAAGTCCAAGATCAAGTCAAGGTCCAGCAGGGTTTGGTTTCTGGTAAGCGTTCTCTGAGCTCTCTGGCTGTCTTTTCTTTTAAGGACACTTCGTCCTATTAGATCAGTGCATCACCCTTATTACCTCATTTAAACTTAATTGTTTCCTTAAACATCCCATCTTCAAGTACAGCCACATTTTTATGAATGTTAAGGCTTGGATCCACAGCACTATGTATTAGCAGCTTTTGTATTTTCGATGTGAAGTTAGATTCTTTATTAATAATATGGAAAGTTTTTGTTGTTATTTTGCTCCATTGTCTTAACAGAGCCAGCAGTATTATTAATAGATTGAAAGGCTTTTTTCCTCCCCACTTACCTGGTAGGTAGTTTTAGTGTAGTGTTGTTTAGTGTTACGTGGTTTCTCTAATTTGGAAATATTCCCGACTGGTCTGGATTAATATTTTAATTAACGGACACAGTTAATATCTAAGTAAAAGGAACCTTTCAGATAATTTCTATAAAAGTAAAATTAGATTTAGTTTATCAGGCATTCTGACATGGAAGATTCATGAAAGCAGGTAAACATGGTGTCAAACTCATCTTTATCTACAAGAATTTATTTGGACTGAAAGGTAAGCACTTACACACAACTGTTAATATACGTAAAAAGAGATTAGAAATGTAATGAATCAAGAGACTGCTTGTAATTTTATTGTGAAGTTTTAGGGAAAAATATTTTCCATCTCCATCCCTAGCTAATCATGGAAAAGAGGAGTATCAGAGTAGGAGCCGAGGGGGCTTTGGCTGAGACAGCTCTCACTTTATTCATTGTCACAATTCAACTACTTTGGCTGCTTAATCAGATATCTCCTTTTTCTGTTACTGCTCTCATGTTTCCTTGACTTTATTTCAGGAAAGACTTCAGTCCCCTTCCTGCATAGACTTAGAGCATTCTCTGTTGAAGGGTAGGTTTGCAAGTATGTGTACTTTTTTGCTATAAATCTCTCTTTTATTTTTGCTATAAAGGCTAGTCATTTATAAGTGTTAGCTGTCAGTTATAGGTGTCAGCATTGGTTTAGCAACCTTTAAAGCAAAGGAAGTCTAGAAAGAGCAAAACTTTTGGACTTTCCCTGGTTACAGGAGCCATTGAGAGGCTTAGCCTACTCTGAAGCAAAACAAAAAAATGGTGGGAGTCCCCCCTCTCCCCCACCCAACTTCCCAAATAACTGTTTTGAGAGATCCTAACTCCTTTTTTCCATAATTAGCTTATATACAGTTTAACAAATTCTAACAGTACTTAAGGTTAATAGGTCATAAATTCACACTGTATGAAAATAATATTTCCTTTGGAACATGAACTTTTCATATTTTTTGCCATTTATTCATAATCAACTTGGATAATTAGAACAGAGAACTGTATAGTATCAGAAAGAGCTATTCTAAATTTGTAGATCAAGTGTAACAAATCAGTTTTCTTAAACTGTCATAATGCTAATTCATTTGAATAGAATTGTTATGATATATGAGGTCTGTCCAGAAAAAGTTCAGCTATTATTAATATAACAAGAACAGTTTCTGCAGTGTTGGTGTAACCTCACAGCTAAGGAGAGTGGACTGGAATGTGCATGTGTGAACAATGACTATGTCATTGTACTGGTTAGTGGGGGCAGTAGATAGTCGTTGAGGGAGCATGTGTACTGTGTGGCCATCACATTCAAAATGATTGAGTGAGTAGAGTAACTGATCTGCATCAGGTTTTGCATTAAGCTTAAACAGTCCTCCGTGGGAACTGTTCGGATGACTGAAGCAATGGGCAACTGGTGACTGGATTCATCACGACAGTGTGCTCCCTCATGCATCACATCTGGTACAGGTTTTTGGCAAAACATCAAATCACTCAGGTGACTCATCCCCCCTACAGCCCATATTTGGCACCCTGCAACTTCTGGCAGGAACTAAAACTAAAATCACCTTTGAAAGGGAAGAGATTTCAGACCGGCAATGAGATTCAAGGAAATACGACAGAGCAGCTGATGGTGATCGGGAGAACAGCGTGAGGTCCCAAGGTACCTACTTGGAAGGGGACTGAGACATCATTGTCCTGTGTACAGTGTTTCTTGTATCTTGTATCATCTTTAGTAAATGTCCCTATTGTTCCTACTACATGGATGGATACTTTCTGGACAGACTTCGTACGTTTAATTCTTTGTTTTGGTCAGGAAGCCAGGACAAATCCCTGTTTAATCTAGCTAAAGCAGAGGAAATACATCTGATTATAAAGTTAATTATGGCAGGGACCCTCTCTCCATGCCACCCATATCCTCTCCCATTTTTCACTTTTGCCTTTCTACCTGTCATATTCTTTTGTCTTTTCATTTTTATGAAATTTTTCATTTTCTCGTGTTCTTTGCCTTTGTGTTCCTGTGTCTGAAAGCATCCACCTTAATTCTTTATGGACCTCTACTGCAAGAGCACCATGAATCTGGGATCCCTTTGTACCTAGAAAAATAACTCATTTGTCTCACCTGTCTCCTTCTGTTTCAGGCCACTGTGACCAGTGGGTCATTTATATGGTGGCTCACCTTGTACTCAGCAGAAACTATTAGATCAGACTCTTTGAGAATAGAGGAAGATAAGACTGTTTATTTGCATTTAAAGACTATACTGTAGGAAATTGCTATAGGTAGCCAAGTGCCTTTTCTCTTAGGAGGACCATTTACTGTAAGTTTTTTAATTATTTAGGAGCTTTCCATGGCTTAAAAATTAATGTTTTCTATTAATGTAGTAACAGTGTAGACTATGACTTAATGCTATTTCTACCATTATTATTTGACTCTTTTTATTGAAGGACTTACAGAACATCTTTTTCTGTGATGTAACTTTCGAATATAATCATACGTGTTTAGGTGTTATGGAGAAAGTATATTGCATAGTAGTTAAGAGCTGGGAATCTGAGTCAGACTTATCCTAGCTGTACCACTTGCAAGCTGTATGACTACTTCCTGAGCTTTAAATTTTTTAATCTGTAAAATAGCAATAATAGTAGTGCACATATTATATAAGGATAATTTGGAAAAGGTATAAAATATGCCAGTAGATAAATATTTTTAAGTTCATTTAAAAAAGTATTTGAAATAACACTAAAATCTCTCTATTTGGAAGGTAAGAGATAGTTTACTAAAAATATTGAAAAATCTGAGGAGATACAGTTCTTTTTATTTTTTTAAATATTTGATTTATTCTAGCAGTGGAATTGCTGGATCAAAAGGCAGATCTATTTTTAGTTTTTCATACTGTTTTCCATAGTGGTCGTACCAGTGTGCAATCCCACCAACAGCACTAAGAACCCTGAAACACCAATCCAAAAGAACTTATGCACCCCCAATGTCCATAGCAACACAATTTACAATAGCCAAGTGCTGGAAGCAACTGAGGTGCCCATCAGTAGATGAATGGATCAAAAAACTATGATACATTTACACAATGGAATTCTATGCAGCAGAAAGAAAGAAGGAGCTCCTACCCTTTGTGACAGCGTGGATGGAGCTGGAAAGCATTATGCTAAGCGAAATAAGCCCAGTGGTGAAAGACAAATACCATATGATCTCACCTTTAACAGGAACCTAATCAACAAAACAAACAAGCAAAATATAACCAAAGACACTGAAATTGAGAACAGGTTGACAGTGACTAGAGGGGAGAGGGGAGGGAATTTCATGGGAAAAGGGGAAGGGTTTGCAGGAACAAGTATAAAGGACACATGGGCAATAACAAGGCGGGGGGTGGAAATGGGAGGGAGGTGGGAGGGCTGTGGGGGTAGGCTGGTATGGGGGTAAAAGGCAGAAAACTGTACTTGAATAACAATTAAAATAAAAAAACTAAAAATAAATAAATATTTGATCTATTTATTTTTAGACAGAGGGGAAGGGAAGGAGAAAGAGAGGGAGAGAAACATCAATGTGTGGTTGCCTCTCGCACGCCCTACACTGGCGGACCTGGCCCACAGTCCAGGCATGTGCCCTGACTGAGAATTGAACCGGCAACCCGTTGATTCTCAGGCTAGTGCTCAGTCCACTGAACCACACCAGCCAGGGCTACAGTTCTTTAAGAAACTAATTTTGTACTGTTTTATATATATATAAATATTTTTTCCTTTGATAGGGTTTTCCAGAAAAGGATCTTCTGCACTGTCCATCTAAGGATGCAATTGAAGCTCATTTTATGTCTTGTGTGAAAGAAGCTGATGCTTTAAAGCACAAAAGTCAAGTAATCAATGAAATGCAGAAAAAAGATCACAAGCAGCTATGGATGGGATTACATAATGGTAAATACAGCAATGTTGAATTTCATAGTAACCCTGTATAAAGTATGAAAGTAACTATAATTCTGTAGTTGGCAATATCTTAGGATTGGTAGTACAAGTTTTAATTCCAGTTTCTAGACACAAAATTTTACAAATAAGCTACCTTTAGTCATCCCCATATATTGTACCCTTCCAACATCTTTCTCTTCCCGGATTCCCCAGCCATTAGACTGATTGCTTTGCCCATAACATATGCAGTAGAAACTTCTTGCGTTTAGCTTCTAGAAAAAGTGCCCTTACTCTTAATCTTGATCCTTCTGGAACTGCAATTGAATACGCTGTTTGCATACCAAAGTACCTCCATTTGGGTAGGGTGTGAACTTCAACCTCTGTTTACTCAGAACTGTGAAACTTGCTTTGTGTTTAGATTCTGTATTGGCCGGTTTAGAAAATACACCCAAGGGAAAACGGAGGGCAATCTGCAATTCACTATTCTTCATCTTTTAGAAGATCATAGCTTTTTAATCTTGTCTGCACTTATTGCCCTCCAGTGCCTTCAAACAGTTCTGTGTACAGGAAGTCCTTGCTTTGCAAAAGTCCAGTTTGCATGATTTTAGTTAAATAGTACTATTCTCAGTTGCCAAGAGAGTAAATCTTAAAAGTTCTCATCAAAAGAAAAAAAAGTTGTTTTGTAACTTTGTATGATGACTAATGATAACTAGACTTTTTGTGGTAATCATTTTGCAGTATATACAAATATTGAATTATTGTGTTATACACCTGAAATTAATATAATGTTACATGGTAATTATACCCAAACTTAAGAAAAGAAAAATACACCACCAGTTTCCCAAGAATATGGTTCAAATTTCATTTGCCATGTATATATTAACTGAATAATTACATAAAGTGCAAACTGTATTGCTAGCTCTTCAATCCACAGATCATTATGTAACAATACACATGCATCATGATCAGTGACCAATCACTTTACTTTTCAACATCTGTCAGTGAATCATCATTATGTATCTGTTATTTTCATCCACAGACAGCAAAGCATGTAATGCTACCTCCTTGTCTCCAGTGATACACCCACGGAACATTTTATAACACTGGATAATTGAAAGAGAAAATTGGCCCAAAAGGTGAAAATGTTGTAGAAAGAAAAAGTGATAATTCTGGGAGTGAAATTTGAATAGAATGTAATGGAATTAGAGAAGACATGGCTGACTGTGATAATGTGGACACTACTGCCATTTCAGAGGATTTAGAAAGCAGCACCCATTTTAGGACAGGAAATTCGTGCAGGTAAACTTTCCCACATAAATGTGGAAAGTGGTTGTGATGATTACATTATCTCAGAGGAAGTGATGCTGGCAAAACACTCATTAAAGGACAGATATTTCATGACATTGAAAGCACAGATGATAGTATGTTAGGAATTGATTCAAACTCTTAGGATAGTTTACCACAGTTTATGAAAGATGCTTTCTTGTAAGTTTCATGTCAAGGAAGCAAGCACTATTCAAACACACTTAAGTTTGGTGTTTTTTTACAAAGAAAACACTTTAATTTTTTGTGCTTTTAATGTTTTATATTACTGTGTACTAAATAAATATTAGTCTTAACTATTTTTCTCATTTTTCTATACATTCATAACCATCAGAGTTCTTTATGTTTTTTTTAAAGCTCACAGAATAATCATAATTTTTCCCATTAACTGTCAAGATCACTTTGTATGTTTATATCTTGCACAGTCGCTTTTCCAGTCCGTGCAAAGCACGGACTACCTGTATTTTGTCCATTTTTCATGGTGGTTTTTGGACAGGTCATTAGTCCAATATAAAGTTGTCTTTCATGACAACAGTTAGAATAAAAGAGAAGCCTCCCTTCGCCCCCCAGAAAAGAACTATTAATTTGAAAGATGTGATCCAGTTTTATCTTTTAGACTATATTGTTGCCATGTCAAAGAGGTGTTTGTAGTTATTTAGTGTTTATTAAACTTCCATTACACAAAATACAGAGTATTATGTGACTTCAGTATACAAAAGTCACATATTTTATGACCCTATGGACTGTAAATTAAATTTTCTCATTTTTAAGTTTCTTAGATTTGACCTGAGTTGTAAGGAGTTACTCCTTAGTTTCATATTGGTACCTGTGGTATTTATCAACTAGATTATTGCAGAGGCAGGCACAAGGCCTTTTACCTCATTTAATATTACTAAATACCCAAATTTTTATGAGATGATTAAAAGGGTTTACAATCCCTTAAGGTATGCATTTCCCTTTTCCTTGCTGCCTGTTTGAAGATGAAGTGACATTTTAGGAGACTTGTGAAATCAGAAGATTGCCTAAATGGAAGAAGACAGGAATCTTCTAAAGAGAACAGGGATCTGAGAATAATTTGGCTTTGGAATTGAAGTAAATAATTTAAATGGACATTTAAGTAGATGTTCTTGAACTCTGTTGTGAATGTGAGGAGTCAGCTATAGATTGCTTGGGGATTCAGCACAGGATTCTAAAAAAGATTGAAATGATTCATTTGGGGTACTGGAGGATTGGCTGTGGAGGGTGATGGTTACGAATTGTGAAAACAAAGGCCTGGTTTTTAAGTACCAGCTCTACCTAGTAGCTTTTTAGGACAAATCACTCAGTTCTTTTAGTTTCAATTTCTTTATCTGTGAAATAAGAGAGTATCTATTTCTCCTATAGTTGTCTTTACTGTCTTTAGAGCATTTGAAAGGAAGCATAGCTGTCTTGATAAACATAATTATTGAGAAGTCACTTAGAGACTCTAGAACTGGGGTTGGCAAACAGTGGCAAACAAAGGGCCAAACACCTGTTTATATAAATAAAGATTTATTAGAACCCTGCCACACCCATTCATTCATGTATTGGTTATATCTGCTTTCATGCTACAACAGCATGGTGTAGCAGACACCATGTGGCCCACAGCCTAAAATGTTTATTATCTTTGACACTTTTAGAAAATATTTGTCAGCCCATAGAAGGTTGATCAAACCAACAGCTAATGTTTATTATTGACCTAAGGCATGACTCAAAATGTCACACATTCAGAACTTGATGTAATATAATGTATCAGACTTAGTTTAATACTGCCTTAGTGATATTTTTTAGAATAAAATTAACCTTTCTCTGTTTTTGTTTTAGCTCATATTATTTATTAAAGTTTATAAATTACTTTTCAAATTCAGCTTTATTAAATTTGACTTAAGCTGGTATGTGGTTAAAATATATTTTATTCCATTTTTATATTTAGCTATAAATTATTTTTGTAGTTGTGATGTTTGTTTTTTTTTCATACTGATAATGATAGGGCTTATACGCTCAAAACTATTTATGGTATCCTGTGTATACTGGAGACCTTGAGAGTTTATTCATTTAGAACATTTTTAACTGGGTGAAAGTTGTTTGTAGAAAATGTTATTATCTACATTAAGGTAAATTGATGAAAGGTGGGTATAGTAGTAGTAATTTGTTCCTTCGGCATAGAATGCTCTTTCTCATATTTTTTGTCTGTGTCACTCCTACTTATGTTTTTTGCTCATCTCTTTTACCACCTATGTGAAGCCTTCCCTATTTTTTTAGCCAACAAATATTGAACATCTAACATGTGCCTGACAGTAGACTTGGAGCTAGTAATCACCCCCCAGTGGTAGAACAGACATGGATCCTGTGTTCGCGGAACTTGCCGACGAGTGGAGAAAGAACTGTCGTTTCATACTGTCATCACTCCACGTTCATTTATATGCACTTTGGCTCTGTATTTCATCACATTCTGGAGTAGTTATACTTTATGTATTCTGCTAGAACATAAATTTCTCCTGATTGAAATGTGTTGCACCTTTGGGTATCCCCAGCACCTATTCTAGTCTTTCACATAGAGTAGACAAAATAAATATTGATGGAATGACTTTCATTTTATTTCTTTCTAATACTGTAAGGAAGTCACATTGATAGCTTTTTATGAATAGTTTAATACTAGTATAAAATAAGAAAAGTGCCTTGTTTGAATTTGTTTACTGAAATAGACTTTATGTTTAAGATTTTTCCATCCAGGGTGGGCTGGAATGGGAGTAAAAGGGAGAAAACTCTACTTGAACAATGATTAAAATAAAAAAAAAAGAATTTTCCATCCAAAACAAAGTCCTATTAATTTGTGAAGTTACAGATATTTCGTTTTTTGGTTAGTATAATTGCAAATTGGTAAAGATTGAGATACAGAAGATAGTAAGTTTATTATTCAGAACTGCACCTGTAGAACATAACAACTAAACAACTATTTAAACAATTTTTGAATACTTTCAAATGCTAATTTTAATTTTTCAGATCTCTGTGAAAGAGAAATAAGAAAAGCTTTTGAAACCAAGAAAACTCATTTAGGACAAACGCTGCCTTTCAGTGTTTTTTGGGGGTTTTCATTTTAGATAGAAAAGTATTTAACTTCCTTGTGCAACAGAGTTAGTGACCACACACACACACACACAAAAAGAAAGTAACGTTTTTATCATTTACGAGGCAGTTTTCACATATGCAGGCTATTTTCTATTAAATATCAAGCTGTTTTTCTTGTAAGCTAGAGATTTTGAGGAAACCTCTAAAAAATATTTATAATGTAGGAGTTAGTTTTCAGCCTTAATTTTCTGTATATACCAAAAAAGAAAAGTTGGGATCATAAATTCTATAGACCTTCAAGTAAATGCAAGTTTTGACTGCTAAATATGTTGAATATAAACATTGTTTCTAAAGTGTGGTTCATCTCTTTGAGCTAAGTTACATTTTAAAGAAATTAATTTGTTAGTGTACCATTCTAACTTAAAACTGATTTTTAAAGGACAAAGCAATTAGTTAAAGATGATTTTTATAACAAGTCATAACCTTTTGAAAGTTTTGTTTGGTAGGTGATGTAAAAGGTAAATTCAGTGGTTCTAGCTCTTTGGAGGCTTGTATGACAGAGACTGTTGGGCCGTAATTACATTGCTTTGTTTTCATCAGTT